CCTTTCAGAGTGACAGTGTTTCAAGTGCATTTGTTCCCTTGAGCATCCATCAACAGGGTCCCTCAGAGAAATTAATCCTCATGAAAGACCTTTCTTTCTCCCAGGAGGTGATAAGGGACTAGCAAGAGTCTTCTCATTTCATCTGTGGTTGGTCAGAGGCGATATTAAATTGTGATCCATTTGGCTATTGAGTGTTTGAAGAAATCGCAATGTCTTTATCACGTTAATTTCTATGCAGAATATTACAAAAGTGTGTGTGTGTGTTTTTTTCCTCTCACCTAAAATACAGTGAATGCAATTCCTTCTTCCCTATGTCCCCTTTTCTGTCAGAATACTGAGGATTTTGTAAAGTTTTTATTTCTCTTAAAAAAGCCTTGTTTTTGAGTAAAGGATGAGAGTAATTCATTTGTATATGGATTGCTCATGTCATGTGTAGCTTAAGGCTTTTTATTTTAAAAAAAACACACAGTTATCCAAGGTTTTTATTTTTGCTTGGTGTTTATTTTTAGTGGTTATCGATAGTTTGCTGCTGCCAATCTTATTATGATTAGTACTAAACAGTGTAACTCTGGTCCCATCTAGGCAACAGATCAGATTAATCTTTTCTCGGGGGGATTGTTGAGCTGCAGACTGGGATTGCCCATGGTTCACCTGATTTGGTGATTAAAGAGCCTGAAATAACTGCCTGCCAAACAATTTGTCTGGCATTTCAACCATCTTAATGACACAGTGGGATTAACTATGTATGGGGCAATCCACTCGACGGACTGGAAATCAATTATAATAACCTAGAAAACTTACAGTTTTGATAATTTGGTGTCATAGAGCTGTGATTTTATAGTTTATACATTTCTAAAGTGTCATTCTTGATTTGTTGCAGTTATTTTCTGGAGTAGCTAACAATGAATGTCTTTTAACTTCATTGTAAATAAAGCAGAATAAAGGTTGACTACCATTTTTGTTGACCTAGCGTGAAAAGGTAAATTTGTAAACTAGAAAATTTGTAAGTTGGAATTTAAAGGCAGCTTTTGCCATTTTGTTTGCTGTTGACTTAGCAACTTAAATATAACCTGTACCAAAGTGAAACCTTGAAGTATGTACTAATAACAATTTTAGAAAGTATATGAGTGCGTTGTTATTGGCATGTGGATTATAATAATCATAGAAGGAATGGTGAAATGAACTGGTGATGACACCACAGCAAATTTTAGAGCAAATTATTCTGCCTTTTCTATTTTTCTAAGACAAAATACGCACATCTTCACATGCCAAGATTTTTATATATATTTAAAATATATATATATTGTCTTCCATTTCCTGCTCAAATGGTCACATGGGTGGCATTAGAATCTCCCTGTATTAATGTCATTGATTTTCAATTGTCACAGAGCCCAATAACTCATCCATTGCTTCATTGTGAAACTCCTTGACAGTTTTACAACCCAAATTAGAAGGAAAAGAGAAAAAGATGGAGGGGGAAATGAATGTAAAGTCAATTGAACATGTTAGCGGTTTGTTTTATGGAAATAATCTTGGGACTCTACTTAATCATGTAGTTCATAGAAGGGGAGGGGCTCCAAGTTTTAGGCCTAGTTCATTTCTGAGCAAACAGTTTTTAACACCGGATCAGATACTTAATGGAATGGGAAGATTGGTTGAGCCATTTTTGAGAATCTTTGGTGTTTCCACACCTGCTCTCCATGTATTTCTTTTGCTAAGCAAAAAGTGACTAACTTGTCCTAGTTGGTTTGGCTCAGTGGATAGATCACCGGCCTGCAGACTGAAGGGTCCCAGGTTCCTATTCTAGTCAAGGGCATGTGCCCAGGTTATAGGTTTGATCCCCAGTAGGGGGCATGCAAGAGGCTGCTGATCCATGATTCTCATCATTGATATTTCTATCTCTCCCTCTCCCTACCTCTTTGAAATCAATAAAAATAGCCTAAACCGGTTTGGCTCAGTGGATAGAGTGTCGGCCTGCAGACTAAAGGGTCCAGGGTTTGATTCCGATCGGGGGCATGTACATTGGTTGCGGGCACATCCCTGATGGGGTTGTGCAGGAGGCAGCTGGTCGATGATTCTCTAACATCGATGTTTCTAGCTCTCTATCCCTCTCCCTTCCTCTCTGTAAAAAATAAATAAAATATATATATTTTTTAAAAGAAATCAATAAAAATATATTTTTAAAAAAGTTTAAAGAAATGAAGTGATTAACTCTTTAAGAAGATACTTTTTGCACAAAACCTTGCACTTTGTGCTTTTTGTTTTTGTTTTTTATTCTACCAGTAGGAATCTCTGATGAATTTAAAAAGAAAAGAAAAACTTTCATGACAAAGGATTCTTAAAATTCCAAACATGAGTGAGACTTTTAAAAGACTGACAGTCTTAGGAGTAATAAAAATGGTTGTCTCCATCCTTGCCACCATTACTGGGGTGTCAGAGAAACATCCAAGTGGAGCTGAAGGAACATCAAGACAAGGAAATGTGTCTTAATTTGGTCACATAGCTGTATCACCTTGACCATGTTTTTTAGGCCCTCTCAGCCATGGTTTGTTTATCTATAAAATGGGTTGATAATAATGATACTATTTTCCTGACTTGCCATGAGGACATGGTGTCATTAGATTGGTAAAAAATCACCTTGTAGATCATAAAGCATGAAACTGATATAAATGTTAGCATTTTTGCTAATCCTTCTACCCTTCCCAAATCATAAGCTGAAGACTTTTAAAGGTGTTAAGCTGAAGTACTAAAAGGGTATTCATCTCCCAGTCACTCTTGGAAGTCAAGGCTACAGAGAGAAAGCATTGCCCTTGTCCTGACAAAGAATGTCCATTTTCACACTTCATATTGCAAATGATATTTGGAGAGTGTCAGGGTTTTTTATTGTTGTTGTTTTGTTGTTATTGTTTTTCTCTGAAGGAAAGTTCTCTTTCCTTTGAGGGCGAGAAAAGTGATTAGGGGGTGGGACAAGAAAGAGGAGATGTGAAGAGAGCTTAAGAAGGGATATAATGGAGAATTGGCAAGGCTTCAGAACTCTGGCAGCAGGTTCCTCCCCATTGTCTTTCCAATGGGTATACTGTGGCAGCACAAATAGAAGACCAGGTGAAAGGTCACCTACTTCCTCATCCATCTTCCTCAGGGTCTGAGAGGTCAGAGTGAAGATTGATTAAGATCTTAAATGTTTGACAAAGGATCCCTGGCCAGAAATGGGCCGGGCGGCTGGGGGCCTGGAGTGTGCTGTTGTTTAAATCTAACCCTGGTCATCTGCCGCTGGAGTCCTCAAGGGATGGGGACAGACCTACACTTCCTCTTAGAGTTCTCACTTCCAAGCGGTACATGCTAATGGAGACGTGAAGAACTGCCTCAAACGTGTCCAGTGGCAGGGTGATGGTGGGCTTGCCCTCTGAAGCGGCCGCAAGTTCATTGTGCTCTTGAATAGCATTTTCTGAAATGATTTGGCTCTGCCTGGGCAGGACAACAAAGAGTGTTAGTCACTCCTCTGGCCTCTTCGGGAGATGCGCGCAGTGTTTTGAACTTGCCTAGCGATTGGGTGCAGAGGATGAGAAAATATTCGAGTCAGTCTAGGCACCCATCCACCTCACGTGGTCAGAAAAAGAAATGAAATCACCTCAGACACCACCTCCCCCCTCCCCTACGCACACAAGCCATTCCCCTGGGCGAGAAAATCTGCCAGATGTTTCACAGGGCTGTTTTCCTTCCCTCCGAAATACTAAGCAGAAGGCAGACAGGAAAGGATTCTTTATGAACTTATTTTTTTGCTTAATTGAAAAGCTGAAAAATGAAAGTCACAGATTTATTCTATGAAATATTAATAAGCAATATTTTCAGAGAACACACAGAAAAATAAAACTAGTAAGAAAATGTTCTTAGAGTCACTCTTAAGGACAAGGAAGTGGTCACAACTGTGACAAAATGCAGCCAGGTAGAAATGAAGCCTTGCTGAAATACACAATTTTGCATAAGTCGTTTGGGGTTATATATCTCTAGGACCTATATTATATGTCATTTCATATATGTGATGCCTTCATATCAGCAAAAGGTATCTTGTTAAAAGCTCTTTTGAGAAAGAACAGGACAAATGCTTTGATGGTTGTGAAATAGGAATATTTCACATTTGTCCTCTGAAAAGAGAGCACTGTGGTTACAAAAAAAAAAAAAAAAATCGTGATGACTTTGTTTTCCTAAGAGCCTTAGGAGAAAGAAGTACTGAAAAGGAAGCATTTAAAATATAATTCAGAAGAGACACTGTTTTCTTTTTCCTTTGAATCGTGTCTTTAAGAATCAATTGCTTGAATCACATGGCTGCCTTTATCCTGGCTTTGAAGCATGGCTGTGGCTCTGATCATTGAAAGATGCAATTCTTTATATACGAGAAGAATGGAGTTTAATTATTGTCTTTCTGTTGTGCTTTTTTATTTCTCTATCTTCATGTGATCAGGCTTCTTTTTTAGTGTGAATGAGGCAATGGTCTCTATTTCAGTTTCACCAAAGCATCACATAGGCATTATCTCAGTTAGGGATTTTTGACTATGCTATTTAGGATTTGATGATTTATTTTAGTCCAACTGAGCTTCCCTATACCTTTCAAAAAAAACGAATTAAGACAGAATTCTTTTTTTTTTTTTAACACATGATGCTTTAGGAAAAAGACTGATTAAATGGCATTCCAGCTGCCACCGTGCAAAACAAGAGGCAGTTGTGATATGTTTGACTTTCACATCATTGAACTTTGCTACTTAAAGGTGTGTGTGTGTGTGTGTGTGTGTGTGTGTGTGTGTGTTTTAAGTTGATAACTTTAACATTACCAAAGAACTGCATACTTAACTCTTACTCAAACTTTTTTAAGTTCTTCTTTTTGTTAATCCTCACCTGAGGATATTTTCCCATTGATTTTTTAGAGAGAGTGGAAGAGAGGGAAAGACTGAGAGGAATATCAATGTGAGAGAGACACATAGATTGGTTTGCCTCCTGCATGCACCCTGACCAGAGTTGGGGGCCAGGGAGGAACCTGCGACCAAGGTACATACCCTTGACCAGAATCAAACCCGAGACTTTTGGTCTGAAGGTCAATGCTCTATCCACTGAGCCAAGCCAGCTATGGCTTACTCAAACTTTTTATGAGTTACCACTTTTTACAATTTGACAAGGAACCCAAATATATCTTTATACATTTATTTTTTTTTAAATGACAAGTGGAATTATTATTAGTTGTCTTGTTTTTAGGATGCTTGACTATCATATTAGAGAATATAACTTTCCTTCATTCTTCATAATTGATGATTAAAATTCTATGGAAACAATATCATACTTTAATTTTTCACTTATTTGTAGATGTTTAGGTTGTCTTAATTTTTCCTGGTAATATTTTTACACAAACACTTTAATTTGAAAATCATATCTTTATATTTGCGTTAAAATGATGAATGGTTAAGCTTGCTTTGTTATTTTTCTGGCTTTCTCCTGGGAAAGTGAAGTCAGTAAAACTTTTGTATCCTGAGAATGTAAGTTGAGGAGTGCAGTTCACCAGCGACTATTATGGAACATACTGGGGCTCATGAAATGTTCATCGAATGAATGAATAAATAAATGCATAAGGAATTGTGGCCTGTTTCATATTAAACATTTATTTCGTGGAGTAATGTTTCATGGAGTCAACATGATATATCAGAATCTTTGCATGTGACTAATGTATTCAAGAGGTCCTTGTTTGTCATTCCTACTTCATTTGGGTCTTAAGTGTTTACTAGTACATCATGTTTATGAATCCTCTCTATGCCAGAACGAACCTTCAGAAATCTCTGCAACATATGTGTGAACGTCTAGTTATTTTAGTACCAAATGGCTATGCCCTGCCTTTTTGTTTGAGACTTGAGTTTAGTTTCTGGTTGTGCTACTTAGCCAGATGTATGGTCGTGGATATTTACAAGTCCCCTGATCTCAAGTTCACATTAGCAAATTGATGGTAATAGTATGTGATTATGTATGACACACACACATAAACATGTATGCATACAGTGAAGGGTTAGCCCAGTGCTTAGAATCATTAAGTGCTTAGTACATAGAAATAATTATTGTCAGTTTTATTGTTATATAGAAATGTGGTGACAATATGGACTATTTGATTAGTGTCTGTTCAACAAGAAAAGCAATTTATTTAGGTGCAGAATAGAGGAGTTTTGAGTTTTGGAGGAGCAGTAGTGACATATACTAGTAAGCAAGGATAGGAGATGGTATAAAATGGCTAATCTTGTCTATACTGATTCTCTCTTCCCCAAGTAATTGGCAGTAGTGCAATGGTTCTCAAAGTGTGTTCCAGCTGGCTTCCCCAAGACCCTTTCATGGGGTTTGCAAGGTGAAAGCTTTCTTAACAATAATAAGATGTTATCTGCCCTTTCGCTTTCCTTCTCTCATGAGCTGGTTTTCCAGAGGCCTACCCAATGTGTGATATCAAATTGAATACAGAAACAAATATAAGACTCTAGCTGTCTACTACCGTGTTTCCCCGAAAATAAGACCTAGTGCAACTTTGGGAGAAAAAATTAATATAAGACACTGTCTTATTTTCGGGGAAACAGGGTAGTAAGCCAGGGAATAAAGAGATTTATAAAGAAAGGAAGAAAGAAAATACCATTCTTGTCACTAATTTCTTTTGTTCTGGGAAATACAATTATTTTTTCATTAAAGTGTTATTTGTGTTCTCATACAATGGGTTTATTATCAGTATTTTTATATTAATTAATAAATAATTATTTACAGATATTTTCAATTTCAACTTACAATACTACATACTACAACTTTAACTGGATTTAAACAAAAGCTCTTTGGCCTCCTCAACGTATTTAAAAGTGCAAAGGGGTTTCAAGATCCAAAAATTTGAGAACCACAGCAGTGGCCCATCAAGCCTGTTAGTTTCTCTGGCAGGTAATAAAGTGCACTACAGTCTTTCTGCAGACGCATTAAAAATTGAAATGAAATAAGAAAGCTCTGAAAACTGTTTTCAAATCTGAGAGATTTAGGTAGCTTCGAAAAGTGCTATTTTATTTATTCAACCTTTTTGATGTTTCTATAAAATTAGACAGCAATTTATAGCTCTTGGCTTTTTAAAAACTGTTTGTCTGTGTCCAATAACATGGCTGAGTTCTCTAGTTTTTTGTGCTTGTGAGAAGGAATGATTAAAGAAGGCCCCAGCTGTCTCCAGGACCCTGAGAGACTGTATCTTTTACACTTAGAGCATAAAACCTTTCTCATGTCCCCTTGCAGCTGGTACCTCAGAGCTGTTTTGGGGAGGAGAGCAGGTGAGGTCACTGGGTCCCATGATCTGGAGGGTAATTAATAGTCCCATGACTAAATGGACATTTTATAAATATTCAGGTCTATTTTGGCTTCCTGAGAACAATCGTGTTGGTACCCCTTACAACTCGCTTTGGAGACACCAAGCGTTTTCTGGGTGAATGCTGGTCCTCAGCTGTCTGCCTAGGGTTGCTTTTCCAGGCAGCAGATTCCTCATTTGCATATTCTGTATTCGCCCTCATGCAAAACAGCACACCCATTTCTCCCTTTCACAATGGTGCTGAGAGCTTCCTTTGGAAACTCCAGCCAAAATCTCCTTTTGTTTATGCAGAACCCAATGATTTAGATGCCATGCAAATTAATTCGGTTTTGATTTGAATGCTTCCAGAGATTGGGGGGGGGGGGGGAGGAGAGCGGGGAGAGAGTGTAGAGAGTGGACTATTTGCACAGGGCTCTTTGTGTAAACCCTACCCACCCTCTACAGCCCTGATGTGGCTGGCTGTCACTCCTCAGCCCCTTGCCCCATGCAAAACAACCAGACCCCCGCTGCTCATTTTATTTTGACCTTTGGAAAGAAACCTAGCAGTTGGTGAATCCCTTGGCTTGCCTGGTTAGTGACAGCTTCAGCTGGAATCTTGATGTTCTTTCTGAGGTGGGAGGGAGGAGATGACACTATTCAGATTATGCTAGGAATGTTTAGAAGTGTCCCAACAAAGGACTTAAAAAACATTGTAAAGTAAAAAGATCAAATTCTTTGCAAAAGAATTGACAGATCTCAGGAAGTTCCGAAAATAGGCTTTAGGTTACTAGCGGGCTTGAGTCCATTTCTTGTTATAAGAAACGTCCAAACCTGTAGAGAATTTTTAGGAGTTTATTTGAGCCAAATTGATGACAATTGCCGGGAAGCAAAATCTCAACACAATGAGAGAAATGCTCTGGAGAATGGCAGTTCTGCAGCTTATTTTATACATTAGAATCAAAGGAGGCAATTTTAGGAGGGTTACATAAAAGTCATTGGTGATAGATTAAGGGAATAGGAGAAAGCAAAGTGGGGGAATCTCTGGGATTAAATTAAAAGGCAAAATAAAGAAACATAGTTCTCTTACATTGGTAGGTACAGGATAGTTAATCATCAACATTTACAGCACATACAGAAAGTATATTCGGAACAAGATAACAATGAGCAGTTCTGTGGTCTGGTACTCTGGTACTATGGATGTGTCCTCAGGGATCTGAAAAAGGAGGTTTCAAAAGTATGTTATCTTAGATGCAAAAAAAGGCAATAGATAGGCCCACTTAAGGTAAATTAAAGATTAGTCTTTGTTAAGGAAGCTACTGGCCTAGAATATAATTACCTGATATGACCTGCTTTTATTTTTTATTTTTATTTATTTATTTTTTTAAATATATTTTATTGATTTTTTTACAGAGAGGAAGGGAGAGAAACAGAGAGCCAGAAACATCGATGAGAGAGTCATCGATCAGCTGCCTCTTGCACACCCCCTACTGGGGATGTGCCCACAACCAAGGTACATGCCCTTGACCAGAATCGAACCCGGGACCCTTCAGTCCTCAGTCCGACGCTCTATCTACTGAGCCAAACCTGTTTCGGCATAACCTGTTTTTAATTAGGAATTTTTCTGTTCAGACCTATGTGGTTACCCCCTTAGCTTGTCAAGTTTGGTAGGTGGTGCCTCCTTTCCCCCCACACATTCCTTAAACAAATATATATTGAAAGTGTAGAATCTACAAACCTTCATTGGTATTTTCACCATTGGTTTCTACATCTATGGATGAACACATCATTCTTCATAACTAAAATCACCACTGAAATCTTTTATTTTCACTTATAGACCAGACAAATGTCTTTATAGGGTATGTTACTGTAATTCTGTTCCTTATTCCATATGTGCATTCACTTCAAATTGAATTCCCGTCTTCCCCTCCCACCCAGGGTTTCCAAATTTCCTTTAACCTTTGCTTTATTCCCCTAAAGTAGAAATGCAAGCACTCTGCATAGCTTACCCAACAAGCATCCCTCTCTGCTTGAAAACAGAAGATCGTGATCATATGCACTCTATAAACTACAAGAAGAGGACTTTGCATGAAATGTTTTTGAAGTTCAATTAGTTTTGAGTTCAAGCTAATTTCACAGGGCAGAAAATGGGCATAGCCAGACTTCGAGTGTAATTAAGTGGAGGCAGGGTCAGGAAAGACAACATCTAAATGTGGAAGAGCTTTTGTTTAGCTCCACATGGTCTGACAAAGTTTGATGATGCTGTTCAAAGTCCATTTGGGATGGATTATTAGGATTAAAGAACAGCAGAAGGCTCTGTACTTGGTACATTCTCTGGTGTCATTAGTGGATGAGAAAATTCAGCTGCTTATCTGGCTCTTGTTTCTGAGGATGGATTTAAACAGACCCACACTTCTTAAAGGTGATCCTACTAACCTCTTCTTAATAAGTTACAGATCTCAAATTGCCCAAAATCCTTAAAATACCATTTGAAGTAAGTTGATTGATAATTATCATTTCCCCTATGTGTGCAGATATTTTCCTCAGCAGTAAAAGCTCTGGTACAGTTTCTTAATTACCCAGATAATCCTATTTGCTTGTATTTTTAAACTATGAAGTGCTGGGTAATTATTCAATTCTTAATAGAAGGCAAATGGCAATGTAAACAATAATTAGGATGTGAGACAGACTAATGCGCTTCAAAGCAAATTGGATTTTTTTTCATACTGTTCAGCATGAAGTCCCATAAAGCTAATAATTTAGGAGCAAGGCAAAAAAAAAAAAAAAAAAAAAAAGGTGCCATTTTGTCCATATTTTATACTGTTATCTCTTCATGGCTTGTTTCTGTGAATAGCAGTTTGCCCCAATGAGGCTGGCTGTGCTCAAGCCAAATGTTTCCCTAACAATTGCCTCCCTGCTGTTTGACATTTGGCTGTCTTCTCCCAGGGCTCCAGATTGGTCCTTTGTCTGCTTCAGATCCCAGGGGTCAGAGGTTAACAGAATACTGATTTCCTCCCATAATACCATGGCAGGTAAATATGGGCCAACCTCAGGATCAGTTAAGTCACAGCTCAGACAGGAATGCTTTTCTCCAGAGCCTTTGTCCTTAAGAACTTCCCTGATTTAAGACGCCAATTTTCCCAGCTCTTACTTCCCACCATAGATCCTTCATTATGAGTACTGCCTTTCCTTTATGGGGCTTTTTCATTCACAACTCACAATATATCCCCAGAAACACATGGCCTGAAAATTATGAACAAATCATTGCTTTTGATGAATTGATCCTACCAACTTAAGATTGTAATACTTTACAATTTTTATCTAGTTAATTATGTCTTGTAGTTGTACCTGTACTGTATGTAATTCATTGGGGAAATAAACAGATAACAAAAGGGTAGACAAAAATAGTTTAAATAATGGTGCTATTACACTCCCTCCCCTTTTTTTCTCGTCTAGCCTTCATGGTGTGTTGCCAGTTAGAGGTATAATTAAACGAGCAATCAATTTTATTTTCCATTTTCATCATTTATGGAGATGTCCAAGCATTCATCAATATCAATGTTATTATTAATGCTTTACATTAGTTAATTATATCAGTCTTAATTTTTCTCTCCTAAGATTAATGTCACTCAGTAGGCTCCTTTCTAATTGGTTATGATGCACATGCAGCCTTTAAAAGTTTAAAATATATTTCAAACTCCCTGACATCTTGTTATCATCAATCAATTTTAAGCCGCTTTTCTACATATTAGCTCTCCCATTTCTATTTGGCCAACCTCCTTCACATTGTCACTGAACTTGATGCTTAGATTCATTTGTTTTCAGTTTTTAAGTGTTTGCAAAAGACATCCCCACTTTGAAAAAACAGTTCCCTTTTCAAGTGTCCAGCTTGGCAATGACTGAAGCAGCCCCCGGCAAATTACCATGTTAAAAGGACAGATCAATACCATTCTGGCTCCTCCACCCTTCTTGCTCTCTTCCAAGTGGGAAGAGTTTTGAAGAACCCTAGGAGGCCCTTGACAGATGTGCCAGGAGACTTCAAGAGGGTTGTCAATTGCCAAGTGGGGAACATTGACAGTTTGATCTAGTGCCCAGGCAGCTTCTCCACCGGCCATTTGAAAATGGATGCAAGAGGAATTGACAGCTTCAAGAAAGCTCAAGCAGTTCATATAATTATGGAGAGGATTAGAAGAAAAGTGTTGGGAGAAATAAGAGATCAATACGAGGGCGCGAGTTGACTGAACTCACCTTTAGCTGTTAGAGCACTCCATTTTGTAACATTTAGCCTGTGCATAGAGAAGAATGCTTTATAGATTTTTTTTTAAGTGTTATATAGGCCTATGCATAAGAAAAAAAAAATAAGCAACTTGGTTTTTGAGAGAGGACTTGCAGGTA